TTCTTCTCCAACTAGCGTCTTTCCCTCTCTGAGCTTCTATTTCATCCTTAAAATGAAGATGCTGGTCTCGCTGATCCCAGAGCCTATTACTTTTTATAGTAAAGCAAAACCTTCATTTCATAAACTCAGCCAGATTAACTGGGCACACGTTTACTGGGCATGCAAATGAGTAAGATCCTCTTGGGGCTACAGTTCACAGATGTCTTTGGAACTGGGTCCCTGGAAGGTTTAGTCTAAGGGCAGACTGCCCCAGGTCCCTTGGATTCATATATCTGGTTGTAATGTCAGAGAATGTTAGCCATGAACAAAAATTACCTTGTTGATAATAATATCAAGTTAATTAACTTGCAAATTTATTTTAAAAACAAAAACTCAGAGACACAGTTAATAAGTATGATGTGAGAATAATAATCTTGTTTCTTTCTAACGCCTCATCCTTTCTCTGCCCTCTTTCCATATCGTGTCCTTGGCTTATTTTGTCCATTTCTTGGTCTCCGAGTAGAGTCCCTGTGTTTGGCTGGAAAAGCCCTCAGATGCCGTTTACATCTTGGAGCTCCAGGTAGGATCAATCTTCCCACACGACTAAGCACATCCCACAGTCATTGAACCCCCTTGTCTCAGGTAACAGAGGTGTCTGAGGAAAACCTTCCTTAAGTAGACATTTTTCATGACTCCAAACCCATGGAGAAAGTGAGACCAGGCCACAGTGGCAGGGCAGAGATGGGATGCTAGGATGCATCTGGGGCAGCACTGATAAACAAGGAGACTTAAACAAGGGGCAGGCGACAGGGAGAGCAAGATGGCTGAGCCAGAAGGCAAAGTGAGGTTGATAAGGAATCATAAGGCAAGCTGAAGGCCAAGCACAAGCTAGCATTAACCCCACCCACACCCACACCCACCCCCGTGGGATACGTGTGACATTCCTCAGGCACTTCTGGCTGCTCAAGTTCAAAGGACAGAAAACAAATGGTTAAACTGATAGAGTTTCCATTGGCTTACAAATATTTTAGTAAATTACAAGAAAAGGCAATCTTATCAATAGCCTCATCTCCAGAAATCTGTAGACTCAGTTTCCCCGGAGCCCAACATCACCCTCCCGTTCACAGTGATGTGAGGAACAAAGGCAAAAAGGAAATGGCAGATAAAATTGAATTTCCTTATAATCTGCAGCCCATTGACAAATACTAGAGGCCTGAAGAGTAAAACATTTCTCCAGGAACTCCCTACTGTCTTAATGATTTGCTAGAGGGAAAAACAATAGCTAGGCATCCAGTAATCTGTGAGTCTTTAGCGTATGGAAAATCCCTTTAAGAAACTTCCTTTTTTGGGGCGCCTGAGTTGCTCAGTTGGTTGAGTGTCCAACTTCAGTTCAGGTCATGATCTCACAGTTCGTGGGTCCCCTGTAGGGCTCTGTGGTGACAGTGCAGAGCCTGGAGCCTGCTTTGGATTCTGTGTCTCCCTCTCTTTCTGCCCCTCTCCTGCTTATGCTCTGTCTCTGTCAAAAATGAAACGTTAAAAATTAAAAAAAAAGAAACTTCCATTTTTTTTATTAAAAAAGTTTTATTGTTCATTTATTCTTGAGAGAGAGAGACAGAGCATGAGCGGGGGGAGGGTCAGAGAGAGAGGGAGACACAATTTGAAGCAGGCTCCAGGCTCTGAGCTGTCAGCACAGAGCCAGACACAGGGCTTGAATTCACAAACTGCAAGATCATGACCTAAGCAGAAGTCAGATGCTTAACTGTCTGAGCCACCCAGGCGCCCCTAAGAAACTTCCTCTTGACTTTACCTCCCCCATTCCCCTAGTATATAACTAGCCATTCTTCACAACCCCAGTGCAGCTCTTCCTGCCCATGGGTCCTATCCCTGTGCTTTAATAAAATCACCTTTTTGCACCAAAGAGAATTCTTTCTTGGCTGTCAGTTCCAAACCCCACCATCACCCCAAAACCTCATCAAGGTCTCCTGACTCCTGGCCCCTGTGACCTGTGAGGAGTACATTGCCCTTGAGGCAACAGCACTTGGATCTAACCTGAGTAGCTGCAGCTGGGATGGAGCAAGAGTCTGTGGGAGAGCCCTTCAGCTCAATCCAGAGTAGCAGGAGACCACCAGGTAGGTTTTGTGAGGAAATCGGGGGCAGTGTGGGCTCAGGAAACGTGGGCTACATAGGTGTTAAATGAAATTTTGTTGAATTGAAAAACATTTTCTGGGGCTTGTGGAGGCTTGACTTGAGGGTGGGTGGTTGGCAGGGCCAGCAATGGTCCGGAAACTGTCAGATTAATGTTCTCAATATTAAGTAGAGGACTTTACAGGAGTAGAGGGTCCTGGTGGCCAGCAGGTGGCGCAAGATCCCCAGCGCTCTGCGGACTGACCCCTGGGAGTTCCAACCTTAAAGCCCGTGTGGGGCAGATGTGAGCGAGAGGACCTGGGCACTGAGAACTTCTTCCCGCGGCTTCCGACTGGAAGCTGGGCTTCAGATCTAGCAGTGGATGGCTGAAGCTACACAGCCTCCACTCAGCGCCTCATTCGTGTCCTCCCGGCCCTAGAGTGCAAGGAAGACAGGAGACCCGAGTTCCTTGTTGGTCCAGGAATCACTGGTTCTCTGGGTTAACATGTCTGATCTGGGCAAAATACCTTTGTCAGGTCCCATTTTTTTTTCCCTCACGAATTTTCGTGGAAACCAGAGGGTGAAACACTTCTATGAATATTTTTAGGGCCTGGAACTTGGATAATCCTGTGTTCTGGGAAGGATAATCCTGTGTGTCCCGTGTTCACACGGCAGGCTGAGTGAAGAACTGAAGGTCAAATCCATGTGGATATTAAAGACAGAGCAGGCAATATCGAAGGCATTTGGCATTAACCACGGGTCACCTCTGTCGTGACTGAGACAAAAACCTGTCGAATACTGCATCAGCTGCTTCCCCGGAAGAGGGGCGGCATCCTGCCCACCGTGTAGCCGGGATGTGAGAGGCTTTGGAGCACCGTTTGAGCACCTGGTGGCCCTGACCAATGTCCCTGGCCCAGCCCCTGTGCCCTGGACCTCAAATGGACCTGCAAGTTGGTCTTTTCAGCCCCAGACTCCAAGTCATGGAAACAAGAGGGCTCAGAGAAGAATGAGACTCTTGACTGGCTGGAAGACTGGTTAGCGCCACATCCTAAGCGGCCGTTGTTGCCATCAACGCTAAGGTGTGCACTGGCCTAGGAGAAACTGGCCAACCTGCTGTCTTCTCCGTGCGGCTGGATGACATCAGCTGATTGGGACACCTGACCTTCAGCGGCAGAGCCGGCCAGGCAGGGCCGTGCTTCCCCCTGAGAGGAGCCTGTGGCTCCCATCTCTGTGCCCCCAGTCTCCCCAGCCAGAGCACAGCCAGAGTGTGGCCAGAGCAGTCCTTGAATGGAAAGTAGGGAACAATGAAAAACAAAGTTAAACTTTGCCTCATTTGGCAAAAGTTTTCCGAGTGAAAGCTGGCCTTGAGTGCTCCACCTACCACTCTTAAGTTGTTATTTTTGCTGCGTTTTTGCTGTGTGTTCCTTATCAATTTTCCAGTGCATCAGTGTATTTTAAAAGGTTTTAAAACAATTTCATCTAGCATTAAAGTTGCTTAGCTACACTGGCAGAAACTTAAGTGCATTTGTGAGTTCCTTAGAGGAAACCTGATATCTGACTTGGGAGATCTGGTTCTGCTTCAATCTCTTGCAACCTCCTCAGTTCCTTTTCACACGCAGTAATGTTGTGAACTGCACCCCTCTCACTCCCCCAGAGCTAAAGCCCAATTGTTTTCCAGTGTGTCCACTTACTATACAGTGAGAATTCAGGCTGCTCTCCTTACACATAGCCCCTTCTTTAATTTCCTTCTCTTACTCTGGCAGGCATTGGCGGCAGTTTACGTAACCACCTCTTTTCCTGGGTGTTCTCAATGTTTGCGAGCTTTTTTTCCTCACATTCATCTTTGAAGTAGGGTAGAACATTTTAATTCCATGTAACATGCCATGCCATTGTGAGAACTTCTTTTCTTCCCCATTCTAGTCTCTTTTTATTTTTTTAAACTTTATTTCTGAGAGAGAGAGAGAGAGAGAGAGAGAGCGAGCGCATGAGTAGGCGAAGGGCAGAGAAGGAGACACAGAATCCAAAGCAGGCTCCAGGCTCTGAGCTGCCAGAAGAGAGCCCCAAGTGGGGCTCGATCTGACGAACCCTGAGATCATGACCTGAGCTAAAGTCGGAAGCTTAACCGATTGAACCGCCCAGGCGCCCCCCATTCAAGTCTCTTCATAGAGCCTGGGAAAGAGCGGTGGTGTGGAGGCAATGGTTAATAGCAATAGGGCAAAAATTCAGCACCTGCCTCCTCTTTTATAAGACCTGATGGTGTCTGACCCCAAATGTTTTATCTCTCTTCAGAATGCGGAAGAACCAAGTCCTCAGCTGAGTCCGGGTTACCAATTCTGGGACAAGAGGAAGAGTTTCTCTTATCCCCTTGGAGTAGCAAATGACTTAACTATTTAAGTCATTGTAGGTGTGATCCAGGGAATCACTGTTTAAATCTTCGGGAGTGACCCATGGGTGAAAGATGGCACAGAAGAGGCAAAGGAAATAGCATCTTGTGATGATGATGCAACGTTGCCCCGCTCGCTTAACTGTCCTATTCCTGTAGCTGGTCAGTCCCTCGATGCGTTTAGGTTTTTATTATTGGCCTCCTCCAGAGAAGGGCACGCTAGCTCCCCGAAAGCAGGGTCTTTTCTTTCCTATCCACAGCCGAATCCTGCCTCTAGCAACATGCCCCGAGCACAGAGAAGGTGCTCTATGACTACTACTGGAATAAAAGGATGCACGAGTACCCAAGCCACACTGCGGACCCCACCATAGCGGCCCGAAAGTGGCGCAACTACCTCCCAGGCTGCCTCTATAGGACCCACACGCGGGTGCCTCTGGGAAGTGTAGTCGGCAGCTGCCCGGGAGTTGCGGGAGTGAGCCTCCGCGTGCGCAAGCGCACTTCCGGCTCTGCCCCGCCGCTGCGGCCATTGTCCGGCCCCAGTGCGGCTAAGGCCGCTTTGGGCCGTCCCTCCGCACTTCAGCATTGGAGAGGACTGGCCCTGCAGCAGGTGCAGGAGGAGCTGGCCCGAGTCCTGGGTGGGCCCGAGGTCGAGAAACCCGGAGTCTCAGGAGGCGGTAATACCGAGTGCGCGGGTCCAGGCGGCAACTCCCACGGGTTTGGCTCGTATCCGCCGGGCCGCGCCCACCATCCTGCGGGTGGGACTGGGCGTGGCCAGAGGACGGAGTCCCGGACGCGGCGAGCCTTAAATTTGAGGGTGGGGGAACGGCAGGCCCAGGCGCTGTCCGCTCAGCTCCCTGTCCTTCTCCCCAGAGAACTGACTGAGGGGCAGAGACGGGCCCGGCACGGTGGGGAGGGGTCAGCGGTTGCAGCTGCGTGAGTGAGCCTTTTCCTTTCTCCCCAGCCCCAGTGTGGGAGTCGACCCCGGGGAGACAGGAATGGCCCCGAGGCCTCCGACGGCCGTGCCCCAGGTGAGCAGCGGGTTCCTCACTATCCCAGGGCGTCCCATCCAGCGAGGCCCCTGGGGCAGGTTTAGAGCGGTCATTGTTCTCCGCCTGAGCGACTCCCTTTCCTAGCTCGGTCGTCGCTTGGGAGCTTCCCTAGTCTTGTGAAACCCAAGATGTCCAGAGCTGTGGGGAACGGGCTTTCCAGAAGGAGGGGACCAGGTGCGGTTCTGCTGAAGGAGTTAAGAGTGAAAGTGTTGGGAAGTGTCACTGCTGAGAGTCCCGAGTGCCAAGCCAATTCCTTGAACTCTTGTCAAGGAATGGAGAGGGTAGGGAGACAGGATAGAAAAGTGTAGAGGAGGAAGTAACTGTTGGTGAGTGAAGGAGAGAGGAGCCCCAGTTTCCGACTCAGAGGTGATAAAGAGATCTTAAGGAGCCAGAGAAGCTTGGTCAGGATTTGCCTAGGAAGAGGCTGGAATTGGGCTTTCTTGGTCCCGGAGTGAGGAAAAAAAAAAAAAACAGAACAAGAAGGACCTGCCCCATAGCTTTTTGCGTTCTTTTTTGCTTTAACAAAGGTATAATAGTGGACAGCCCAGGTGCCCAGCCTTCAGCTTCATTATTTTATGAAGCTGATTTCTGATGAAGCTGATTTCTGAACTCATTCTTGTGAGGGAGGAGGCATTGTCTAGTAGCATCACAACTCTGAGGTTATATGTTGATTTGCATAGAGTATATTTGTGAAAATATAACAAGGCTCAGATAGTATTTTAATCTACACTCTCTTTAGAATCAAGGAAAAATCAAAGATTTTAGTTGCTGAGTGTTTTAGACTATCAGGATCAATCCAGGAATGTCTTGCTGGCTCACTTGGTGGAGCATGTGACTCTTGATCTCTGGGTTGTGAGTTCAAGCCCCACACTGGATGTAGAGATTGCTTAAAAGTAGAATCTAAACAAAAAAACCCAATCCAGATAAACATACTGACTAATAATATCATTTAAAAGCAGTTTACTGTAAAGCAGTTTACTGTAAATTAAATACACAGAGTATGTATAATGCCTTTATATCTTTTACTTTTTCTTCTTTTTTTAATGTTTTATTTATTTCTGAGAGAGAGACAGTGTGAGCAAGGAGGGTCAGAGAGAGAGGCAGACACAGAATCTGAAACAGTCTCCAGGCTCTGAGCTAGCTGTCAGCACAGAGTCCAAAGCGGGGCTCGAAACCACGAACCATGAGATCATGACCTGAGCCAAAGTCGAACGCTTAACCAACTGAGCCATGCAGGCGCCCCTATATCTTTTATTTCTTCTATGTTTTTGTTTTATAAGGGTCAGCCTTAAGGAGTAAGACAAGTAACACCCAGGACAGTTGTTTGGTTTGAGGTGAGCCAGAGCAAATCACTGGTCATCAGTGCCTTTACATATAAAATGTTTCCTCAGTAGGCTGTGAGAATTAGAATCACTTAACATCACACTTAACATCTCATGAGAGTGGTGATCCAAGAGGGGAGGGGTGATAATCCTTTCCATAGGGGTTGCCTTTTTAATGGTGAAAGTGGATTTGTGTTCAGAACAGTGAATGTAGTAGGGACTGCTTTCAAAGCTTTGTTCCCCAAATACTCTAATTTAGTTATATTCTCATGAAATGACCCGACCCCGTCCACTTGGGTTACCTAACCCAGGCTGCAGATGATGACCCTGGATAAAGGACAGGACAAAGACTCTACAAAGGGAGCTTTTTAGGAAGAAATTTCCCTTTGTTGGAGGTTCCCTTTTTCTGAGCTTGGCCCTCTGGGAATGCAAGAGATGAGTAATTGAGACATGTGACTGCTTATCCTGGAGGTTAACTGAGTGGGGGAAGCCTCATGCGCGATAGGTGGTGTCAGGTGTTGTTTCAGAGGTCCAGAGGTTGGCCTGACTACAGAGAGGGGAGAGGAAATTCTGCCTGTGGGAAAGTCAATGGAGATGTCACTTTTACCTAGGAGCAGAGTCCAACAAATGAAAATGAAGGAGGTGGAGATAGAGCCGATTCACTTTGTGGGTCAGGGCATTGGGAGGTCGGAAGATGAGGGGCATGTTCACGAAACTGTTGTCTTGTGTGACAGTGTGTGTGGGCTGCAGGCAATGGGTAGATGAGAATAGAAATGGGTTTGGACTTTTGCTTTTTGGCCTTCATAATCCATCCATTCATTCATCTCTTCATTCAGCCAATAACCATTGAACCCCTGTGATGTGCTAAGACACAGTTCTAAGTAGTTGGGATACAACAGTGAACAAAATTTATAACGCTCTCTGCTTTCACGGGGCTTACATCCTAGAAGGAGGAGATCAAAAGATTCAGTAAGTAACTTTTATAATATCCTAGAAGGTGAGAGTGCCTGGAGGAAAAAAAAGGTAGAGAAAAGTAAGGGGGATTGAGTGCAGGAGAGGGTGGCTTGTGGTAAGGGTACAACTTAAGGTGGTCAGGGTAAGCCTTATCCTTATTGAGATGGTGACATCTGTACAGAAGGAGGCGAGGGAGTTAATGACGCACAGGTCTAGAGAATAGTGCTCTGGGCAGATGAGCAGCAGGGTGTGTGTGTCTGGTGTGTTCAGAATGTTGGACATGGTTAATACACCTCGAGTCACTATTCTTGAGCAGGAAACTAGGATATCTTCTTACTTTTCAAGATTGCTGTGAATGATGAAGTGTAGGAACAAGAGTTTGAGTTGGAGCTCCTGTGGAGAGGTGTTTGGTGGGTGGGACCTCCCCCCTGTACTGTGCTAATACCTGAAGTGGCTCCAAAGTGGGGGAGAAAAGGGGCACCTGGGTGGCTCAGTCGGATAAGCGTCCGACTTCAGCTCAGGTCATGATCTCACGGTCCGTGGGTTCGAGCCCCACATCGGGCTCTGTGCAGACAGCTCAGCGCCTGGAGCCTGATTCAGATTCTGTGTCTCCCTCTCTCTCTGCCCCTCCCCAGCTCGTGCTCTCTCTCTGTGTCAAAAATAAATAAACGTTAAAAACAAACAAACAAAAAACAAAGTGGAGGAGAATGGGAGCAAAGGAGGAATACCCTGAAAATCCTTAGGATCTGTGGGATCATTAGTAGCTATATCTGTGTAAACATTATATATCTTTTTTTCATTATTTGTGCACTCCACTTTTAGTTAGGAATAAAAAAAGGTGAACCCGCCAGAATAGTAAGAGATGGGGAAAGTTTTAGAAGAGAAAAGCTGCAAATGAATACCTGGTTTTCTTTGAAGGAGAGGAAATAGAGAGGGACCAGGATCTGGTCTCCATTGAATCCAGCTCCCAAGAGCTCATCATCAGGATGAACAGGCTCAGCCAGAGCTGACTCGGGTCATCCAGGCTCAGGACGCCTCTAGAGCCTCCAGGGGCATCAAGGACACTTGTTGAACCAGGTCAGGATGTTTGCAGTCAGGGAGGTTCAGGCTGCCTCTGACCAGAGGTCCCCTCTCTCAGCCTTCTCCTGAGCTCACTGGAGCTGGGCCTTAAGCTCAGCCCAGACCCTCTTTTTTTCTGCGTAAGGCCAGGTGCCCCTCTTGTGTGTTCCCACAGCTCTGGTACATAGCTGTCATCCTACTGTTTTTTGTCATATGGAGTTGTGTGTTTACCCATCCATCTCTGCTAGGCTTTCAGCTCCTTTAGGGCGCGGCCATTTGACCCTTTCTCCAGAGTACATGCTCTGCAAGTGGGTGTCAAAGCAAATGCTAATAACCATTTAACACCAAGCAGTAATTTTGTGCTTTCTGCATTTGCTGCTCCTAACATAGAAAAACTATTTTTCCAGTGACCCTAATTTTCTGATAAAATAATTGCATAAAATGGTTTTTAAGGTTCACTGAATAGTTATAAGAAATTTTGTCTTTAAGACAATGTTAGGGTGTCAAAACCTGTTCTTCTAAGGCCTATTTCAAAAATATGATTATTTTCCTGACTTTTCTATGTCTTGTACTACTTTTTTTTTTTTAATATTTTTATTTATTTCTAGGAGAGAGAGAGCGAGAGACAGCGTGAGCAGGGGAGGATCAGAGAGAGAGGGAGACACAGACTCTGAAATAGGCTCCAAGCTCTGAGCTGGCAGTCAGCACAGAGCCCGACACGGGGCTCGAACCCACGAACCGCGAGATCATGACCTAAGCGAAAGTCGAAAGTCGGACGCTTAACCGACTAAGCCACCCAGGCGCCCCTGTCTTGTACTACTTTTATTAAAATATATCTTGGGGTGCCTGGTTAGCTCAATTGGTTAAGCATCCAACTTTGGCTCAGGTCATGATCTCATGGTCCGTGAGTTTGAGCCCTGTGTCAGGCTCTGTGCTGACAGCTCAGAACTTAGAGCCTGCTTGAGATTCTGTGTCTCCCTCTCTCTCTGCCCTTCCCCTGCTTGTGCTCCCTCTCTTTCTCTGTCTCTCTCTGTCACTTAAAAATAAATAAACATTAAAAAAATTTTTTTAAATATATCTTAAAGCATGTGAGCATACAAATAGACTTTTTTCTCTTTTTTTTTCAAAATTCTGTTTAAAGTCTAGTTAACATACAGTATAATACTGTTTTCACAAGTAAAATTTAGCAATTCAATACTTACAAATAATACCCAGTGCTCAACACGACACATGCCCTCCTTAATACTATCACCCATTTAAGTGATATTCAGTTCTCTATTGTGAAGAATCTCTCTCCTTTTTTTGTTTATTTCTTGATTGGAGAGAGAGAGAGAGCGCGCGTGAGAGAGAGAGCACGCGCGCATATGAGCAGGGAAAGGGCAGAGAGGCGGAGAAAGAATCCCAAGCAGGCTCCGTGCTATCAACTTGGAGCCCCAGGCAGGGCTCGAACCCACAAACCATGTGATCATGACCTGAGCCAAAATCAAGAGCCAGATGCTCAACCAACCAAGCCACCCAGGTGCCTCTATCATAAAGACTCTCTTATATTGTTTCCCTCCCCCTTTTCTCTTTTTCCTTTCCATGTGTTAAATCATTTGGTTTGTTTCTTAAATTCCACGTATTAGTGAAATCTTATGGTATTTG